ATACACTACTGTTCAAAAACATTAGGTTTAGTAAAAAAAAGTTTTGAAAAAGTCTCAGCATGCTCAACAAGGTTGCAGTTTTTATTAAAAATACAATAAAAATAGTAATATTCTGAATTATTATTACAATTTAAAATAAAAGTTGTATGTTTTAATATATTTTAAAATGTAATTTATTCCTGTGATCAAAGCTGAATTTTCAGCATTATTACTCCAGTCTTCAGTGTCACATGATCCTACAGAAATCATTCTAATACGCTGATTTGCAGTTCAAGAAACATTTTTTGTGGAATCCATTATACATATTTTTCAGGATTCTTTAACGAATAGAAAATTTGAAAGCACAGCATTTAATTAATGTATATTATTTACTGTTATTTTGATCATTTTAATGTGTCCTTGCAGAATACACATTAATTTATAAAAAAAAAAAAAATTAAGCACATTCTCAATACCATAATTTATCTGGAAGTTTAAGTTTTGGGTTTTTGATAATTCCCATATTTTTATTTCCCATGTAATTCCAACTTTTACTATAATACAATTTTGTTTTCATTGAAATCATCATATTTATATCAGCATATTTAAAAACGTTAAAAAGTTTTGTGGGGTTTTTGCATTGTAATGAGATTTGGTGGGAAATTACTTTTAAATAATGACATAATGTGAAGAAATTCTAAGCGGTCTAAAAATAGTCTTCCTTTTCTTCAGAAAAATGTAATTTCTTGACAGGTTGGGACAGGTGGGTATAAAGGAAAATGCCAGTTGCAGATTCACTCACCCACTTGTCCCAGCTGGTGCACTAGATTGTCTTCCAGGATGGCGTTGGATGCGAAGTTGTTCCCCACGTCAATGAACGTGGGCAGGGAACCTGTGGTAAAGCCTTTTATCCTCTGCATGGTAGTGGTGGGCGGATCGGCCCGAAAGGTGTAGAGTCTGGCATGAGAGGGGTGTGACGATGCCATCTCATCTAACACCGGCAGCTTGTTCTCAAAAGGTTTGGGTGCTGTGTTCTCCGCATCATAGCGGGTAAAGTCAGCCTTCAGAGCGTCAATGATCAGCACCACTGCCCTACGAAAGCGTGGCTCGCTCAGGCAGAAATCTCCCTTCACCTGAGCTCCTGGAGACAAGACGTCTGCACAGGTGCTCGTTCTGTTGACCTCCAGCCTGACTAGGAGGAAGCCTCCCACAAACAGGAAGATGCCTGTGTAAAACACTGAGCAGACCCAGATGAGGGCGACCAGGACAGGAAGTCTTCTCATTCTAGACAAGATGGAGATGGAGAATCAACATAGGGCTCATTATGTAATTAAGGGTACATTTCACATCAACAAAAAATACCAAAACAATATGGTTTCTCTATATAGGGTTACTCGTTTATACATATCATCAGTGTAACATCTGCTAGTTTAATTATTAACAGTTTGATATTACAAGGGAAAGGAAGTTTCCCCTGTGAAGCTGTCAGCTGTGTTAGAGACTAACTGTATGCCATACAGTGATTGTTTTAAAATAATTTTAAGAATCTTTTTTTTTTTTTTTTTGCAGATATATGTGCACAGTCAATATGGACAGAATTTTTTTTAATCACTATTTTGGTAATTTTGAGGATTTGTCATGAAATATTCAAACTAGACTTAGAATGAGATTTAAAATAACTCGGAAAACATACGAGAAGCAAGAATTTTGTGATCATATTAGAATTATATTAAGAATAAATACAGTACTATTCAAAATACTGCATTAAATTAATACAATATAATTATATTATATCATGCAAGGATATATTATCTGAAAATTTGCTCTACAGGGTATCTTAGGCCAACCACATATTATTTTCTTGATCAGGTTAAGCTCAAATTTTAATATATATTTGAATTAAAATCATAAAAATATTGCAAATCATAACACTGGACCTAATATAGTTTCATGGCAATTAATATAGTCCTTAATGGGTTATTGTAGATTAAATATTGAACAAAATGAGAGGACACTTTCAATAATGTGTTAAAAATAAAATGTGTAAAAAATCAAATCAAATGATGTTGTTTGCATAAATGATAAAACGTTCAGTCTGTAACATAGATGACAGTACATTTGCTGACACAAGAAAAATAAATATATTTAAGAAAATTACATTTCAAAAATTTAAATAAGACTTTTTCTGAACTTAATTTAAAAATATATATTAAAAAATAAATATTTAAAATAAATAGATAATGTTGACTAACATTCTACTCATTATGAACTCAAGACTCACTTCAAAAATGGACATTGAAAAAAATGTATTTAAGCAACATTAAAGTAAATTCAAGCCAACTAAAACACTGAATACACAAAATATTTGTGTAAGATTATAAAACGCTTAAATTTATCAGTAGACATACAGCCCACTGCATTTAGTTCCCTTCCTAGACGCCATAAATGTAACATACTAGGTTTTGAGACACAGTAACAACAAGCAATGTTACATAGCAAGTCAAAACTGAAACTACACCAACCTTTAAGAGAGTAATGTGAAATTGACTGTATATATGAGCCAGGCCTTACTAGTACATACTACGGAACGCACTTAAGACTGAGTCCATAACTGCAGGCGAGCGTGTTGCACGCTTCCAGTACTGACCTTGCTTCTCTCCGTTCGTCCTCTCTCTCTTCAGGATTGTAAACGTAGACCGCGCATCCGCTGCAGGGGGCCTAAAGCGCCGCAGGTTCACCGACATCAGGCAGCGGTGCTATCAGAGCTCACTGCTGCTCTACACTCGCTGACATGCAGCCTAATTGCATGTCGGGTTTGTTTTAATATTGGTCATCTCGCAGCCCGGTCTCCACTTCCGTTGACATGCGCAGTGCGTCTGACGGTTACAGGTAAAGACGACTATCAAAATAAAAGACACCGTTTACTGATGTTCAAAATAAAAGCCTCTCGGGTCGCGCTACATCAAGTTTCTCTTGTACTGGCTCGAATTTATGTCGATTGTAGTAAAATTAATTGCGGTAGGATTTTATTACCGTATTAACTTATTACAACACTGTATAAATAATTGGTAACATATTTTGTTTTTTAATCAACTAAACTGAATTTTTCCAAAATAAATTAGAGGTTATGTTAAATTCTGGAAAATGTTTTTGTATTCCAGAATTTTCTTTTTTTTTTCTTTTCAGGGAAATTTAAAACAAAATCCACACAGCATAATACATCATATGTGGAACAGGTAACATGTTATTGTAACTTTTTACTTTATTTTATTTTATTGTTTTATTTTATTTTCAAGGGAATATAAAGCAAACTTCAAACAGCATAATAAATCATACCTGGAACATGGAATGTTTTGTTTTGTTTTCTTTTTTTTTCTTTTCAGGGAAATTTAAAACAAAATCCACACAGCATAATACATCATATGTGGAACATGGAACATGTTTTTGTAACTTTTTATTTTATTGTATTATTTTATTTCGTTTTATTTTCAGAGGAATATAAATTTATTTATTTTATTTTATTTTATTCAGGAAAATTAAAACAGTTAAAAATTAATCATAGGCGTTTGGTTATTAAAGACTTCACTTTCTGTGAAGATTAAAAGCAACAAGAAACATTCATTCTCTTTGCTATACAAAGGATATAATAGCCAAACAGTTATCTTTTAAAATAATTTTCAAAAATGCACATATGGACATTCAATTATATATACTGTACAAACATTGTACAAATTGTAAAAAAAAAAAAAGAATAAATAAATAAATACATTAAAAAATAATATCATACAATGTGTCAGAAGCTGCATGATCACTGGTCGGGTGCAAACAGGTTAAGACATGTAGTGTGCGTGCCAAAGGACAAAAAACTTCACTATGCAGTGTTTACTTTAAAAACACTACTTAAGGGAATCTGTATTTTCTATTAAAACAAATCAACTCAGTTTCAGCATGAAATGTTATTTGTGTTAGGGTATTTAAATAGCCCATGCCCACAGTTCCCTTTTCCATAATAGTGTCTATGGTGCATATATATATATATATATATATTTTTTTTTTTTTT